TGACCGACAAGCTCATCATGCGTCTGCAGAGCCAAATCGATTTAGATTTGGGACGGCAACAACCCCTCAGTGCGTGCGAATGAGAGAAGGTCGTCCTGCAACCAAGCTGCAGTCAACATGCTGTGAACTGGTAACCCGGATGGGAAAGTCCCAAAGGCCCCGGTACCGTTGCATTTGTGGGATGCACGCATGCTCCCGCTGGGCTGGGCGCGACCGGGTGCCTTTTGCTCCTTCCTTTTTGGATGAACAACTATGAACTTCCGGCAGGCAGGCTTACCAGGAGCGTTTGGAATCTTGCACAGACCATAGGGTTTTCTTTGATTGTTGAGAAAGACGCGGAGGGGGACCGCGGCTACGGAGACGCGTGCCGCGTGTTGGGCAGCAGCAGCAAGACACCTGCTGAGGCCGTGTGGAGAATAGCCTGTCACCTAGTGTATTTCTCGGAGAAATACACTAGGTGACAGGCTACCAAAGGATCTGAGACCATTTGAAACGGAGGCACAGAAATCAGCCAACCTCTCCACCTGGACGAGGACATAACAAGATTGGAAAAGATGTTCAGGGAACAGCGGGGAGGTCACGAAGTTTCACTTTCAGGACATAAATAACCAACGAGCACGTGTTGGGCATGGATGGCCAGAGCCCGGGCCACTGGGCGACCTGCGATGGACCAGTGTCGCGTGCTCGTCTGCGGATGGCAAGTCCCTGGAGTCTCGAACCACCTCCAGACGCCGCACTGGCTTGAACTAAGACGCGACTGGAAGATCGCTGCGGCTGAGAAAGGGCTGGTGATTCGCCTTGACTTGGGCTTGCCTTTTTCAGACACTCATCCCGAATCTGAATCAGCAGCCTAGGTCTTGGTATTGATCGAGTCGTACCAACCTGGAAGGCGATGGTGCGTGGCAGATGACATGTGAAGATGCCGCGCCAGATGGTAAATTTGCTTCGGAGGATGATTTGTTGGAGGGCCACCTTTGGGGCATTTCGCACCGGCGCTCAACCGTTGCTTTCTTCAAGCTGCTTCCTCACTGCTCCCCAAATCTCGTCCCCTAAAAAGCCTGGGGTACCTATCTGTAACGGCAAGTGGGGAGACGTTGACCGTTGCGAGTGTACACTAGCAAGACGAGTTGCCCCAAGGAATCGACCGTCGTGGTGATCTCACATAACCGGGTGTTTCTGAGCACGAAGATGTTCAGAAAACCCCGGCCAACTCCGAACCTGGCGCTTTCCCCGCAATCACTATCAAGCATGGGGCAAACCCCCCACGCAGGGGTCTGGTTCCTTCCCCGTTTGCCTCGCTCAGAACCGAACCAACGAACCACCGACGGCAGTTCGGAAAGAGCAATTGAGATAGGCGTAAAACCAGAGCGACCTATCTGAGGAGCTAAGCGAGGCTAGACATGGTTCTGATTTTTTTTTTTTTGAAGGATGGCACGAACGCAACCGATCTCGGGAGCTTGCTGCCTATCTGAGTTATTTACCGAAGAACTATTTGTAGGAGTTGACCGCTGGCCTGTTGGCTCTTATCGAAGGTGGAAATGAAATGGAAGCCAACCAGCCAGAAAGGGGCACGTAGAATCCACCGACTTGCGACAAGTCCATGGTTGGGCCACTTTTGATGATAAGCTTGAGATCCTCGGGGACCCGCCAAGATAACCAAACCCGCCTCCCCAGACTGACGCCGGAGAAAGCCGACAGGGATGATGGCCCAAGCTTTTCCAGGTCAGGAAGCTGGCAAGACATTCCAAGCGGTGCCAAGATGGTTTGGCTTGGCTGCTGGACGACCGGCGAATGACGGTGGATCCAGACTCTGTCAAACGTCGTCTGCCCTCCCCCATCTTCGGGCCATTCTCCTCAGATGGCAAGTTGTGGCCGCTGGGCTGCCGGCGAAGTCCACGCGCTGCGTCGCAGGCAATCGCTAACTTAGCGGCACCGGGATACCGCCGACTTGGCCTGTCCCTGCCTTTTCGCTGCGCTTACCGACATTGCCCTGGGCGCGGTCTGCAGCGTGTTGGCCTGCGGTGGAACGAGGGCGGTGATCTGTCGTCCAACCGCGCAAGCCAGCAACACGGCAGCGCAGCAACACAGCAGCATGGCAGCGCAGCAACACAGCAGCATGGCAGCAGCTCACCTGTGCTAAAATAGAAACCGACCGCAAAGTGAGTGCCCGTGTATCAAGAGAAACAAACAGTTCGCGGCGTCGCCCGGATTCTGTTCAAGGAAGCGACAGCTGAATGGACGTGTGGACCAAGAGCTCACGCATCGGTGGCGTTGGTTGACCTGCATCGCCGCCGAAAAAAGAGCCAAAACCAAGATCTGGGGCACCGGCTTGGCACCATTTTAGCCTGCCTCGAAGCCTGCCCAGTTCGCTTTGACAAATGGAATCTCCGAGCTCAAGTCCAGGGTGTTCTTGTTATTGGCCCTCTGATACCGGCGCCAACCAAACTGGGCGACCGACACGGCCACACACAGCGGCGATCATGAACCCCGTCTGTTCGAGATGGACTTTCGGGCGATTGGACTGCTTGGGTTGTTTGGGTGCTTGGTTCGACGGCTGGTTGGACTGCTCCCTGGGATGACCCGATGCACAAATCACGGCCCACGGCCGTTACCCCTTCTGCGCAACCAACCCCGTTGCAACCACTCAGTGGCCTGCCGGTTCCGTCATTGCCCCTCCTCCGCATGCTGCAATCAATCTGCATGCTGGGAAGGAACTGACGACTGCCCCCCCTCTTTCCGCCACCCGTCTTATGTCTGATGGACGAACATGTGCGCAACAGGCTCGCACCTTCCCGACTCCTGCTGGGTCAACTTGGCTGCTTGGCTGCAAAGCTCCGAGGCATTGCGCGGGTTATTGGCCACTTGTTCTAGCTCCTTCTCCATCGAGGGCCTCTTCCTGGTCAGACTCGCCGTCCCCATCGAAGGTGTTGCCTCACGCTTTAACTCCTTCGGTGAGGCTTCTAGCCACTTTCTGTGCTTCCCGGCTGAGCCCGGTCAAGGCACCATTCTCCAATCACTCCAATCACTCTTGGCTCGACCCTCACACTCCCGTGCCACTGGATCCTGCGTGCCGCGTGCCTTGCCCTGTTGTTTCCTCCGGAATTTCCATATTTTTTTTATATCCTT